AGAGCCTCTATCCCAGATTCCCCAGCGAGCTCTTCACTCATTTGACGAAAGTTCTTTCTCCCTTTATGTGCTAAGGTAGAATCATTTGCCAAACATTTCTGTTTGCAGTGATGACATTATTGTGGTTGTTTGTTTCCCAGACAACTATACAAGGGTAGTATCTTTTCTAAGAAGTGTTCAAACAATTGCCAACTTTTTGGGTTTTCTCCTGCCAAGTGCTGGGTTTGATTTAAAATCCACATAATTTTGATTTCTTGCGGTATTGTTTGACTTCTTAAATCCCCAAGTAAAGTTGAGATGATGTTTCTTCTTGAAAGTTTGTTATCCCCATGTGATTTCATAATTTCTCCCCAGTGAAGTTTGTGTAATCATCACTCTTGATATTGAAGAATGTATTTTGGGCTTCCCTCAACAAGGTGGTATGATCCCTCCAATGAAACTAATACGAGATCCTCAGTTGATATCTCAACAACATGGTTTTCATCTTCCTTAGAGAAGATAATATTATAATATCCAGTGGAAATCTAGACGTTGAGAAGTTTGTTTTCCCCCATTGAAGTATGTGTGATGTTTCTCGGTGAAGCCTAGAGGAGGATGTTAGATCCCTGTACTTGCATTGATTTTATTGTTTTGATTTGATTACTTTCGGATTGTGTTTCTTCCCAGTGAAGTTAAGCTGTGGAATAGGATTTTGTTTCCTCAGTTGGTGCTTACTTTCTTATGAAATTTTCATCCTGGACGTGATTTAGCCGAGTGTTGACTTTACCCAAGTTGGTTTTGTCTAGTTATTCCCAGTGCTTTATGTCTACTTTGTCAGCATATACATAATAACATTCATATATACATCATGCATAGCTGAATTAAAATTCATTGCTCATTTGCATTTATTGTTTTCTATTGGCGTATTACCCTATTTTTCAGAGTCATGTTACCCTCTCTCCAATAGCGTGTCAACCTTAAGCAGAAAGTATATATTCTTTCAATTTCCCCACTGAGTTATCCCTCGTGGATATTTTTTTGCCTCAGCCTTCCTATTTCAGTTCATTGTCTGATTAGATCCGTGTTTCCTCTTTTAGTTTAGTTCTCATCAGATGCTATCTTGGTTGACTGTTTCACTCTGGTTTATTTCTGGTTTGAATTTATGGTTCCCGAAAACACTATTTTTTTTATTTCTGCAGGCTTGGAATATTTGGTTACTATCCTTGGAATTTTGGAGTTATGGACTTCTTGAACTTAGGATTAGAGACCTTGACCTACCTTGAGACATTGTGACTTCTATTGCAGTATTGTCTGGAGTTCTTGGGGTTTTCCCCAAGACATTGGGTTGTTTGTTTCTTTGTGTGCAGGTTATTTTAATTACATGTCTTGTCTGTAATCAGGAATTCATATGTATACAACCGTTACTCTGTCCAATTTTTGTGAAGACATAATGCATTTGAAACTTGGTTTTCTTAAGAGGTTTATTATCTTTGCTTGGTTTCAATCTAAAGGATGGGAATTCTATATTGACTCATTGTGTCAAGTGTTGGCTTCTTGTTGGTTATATGGTACTTTTCCCTAGCTTTTACTTTATGCTTTAGGATAGTCCCTTCATCTCCTCCCATCTTCTTTAATTTCAAAAAATATTCTCCCTCCTTTTCAAAAATATTATTGTTTTCCAAAACAACTTAATCAAACTTTAAACAACTTAATAATACTTTGACATTTTTTTTGTGAGAAGACTAAAAGTCAATCAATCTCATTCAAACCATTTTTGCCATTGTTGGCTTTTTACCTTGAAATTTTCTCAAAAGATTAGACTCTTGTCAATCCTTGTAGTGATGCGAGCTACTATACTTCTATGATATGTAATGAAGTGAGATATTTTCCACTTGGGTGTTGAGTGAAGCTTTGTTGATTTTAAAATCCAAGCTATATCCTCCACTTTGAGATGACGCAAATTCTCCTTTCTCATAATTGTGGGTAGTAAGTATGTTTTTCCACTTGGATAAGACGATGATGTCTCGTCTCTTAAAATTAACCAACACACTTGTGTTTTAAAATTTTTAAAAGGTGAACTACGAGTACCCTAATCCCCTATTGCACGGAAGGTGGTACATAGACACTAAAGGTTCACAACCGCGGAGGGTGCAAAAATTGTAAAAAAAAATACTTCTTTTCTCATCCCCACAATCTATTTTTGTATACAACACTTATAGCCAAAATACACAAATTTCCAAAGAGGTTCATGTGGAGTACCGTAGATGTTTAGGGTGCTAATACCTTCCCTTTGCATAACCAACCCCCAAACTTAGATTCTCTCCCCCCTTCTTTTTGGGTTATTCTCTCTTTTCCAATTCTTATGGAAAAAATAAAGCGCGGTGGCGATTTTTATTTGATCTGTGCGAGTCAAGTCAATCCAATGGATTAGTCTCAACATTTCTACCGCTATAATAATATTGTCCTTATTGGAGATGATACAATGGAAACAAAAAGAGTAAAAGAGAAATTGGCAGTATACTTTGGAATCAAGGACTTGAGATTCATGAGATATTTTCTTGGTATGGAGGTTGCTCGGTCATAGAACGGTATTGTGGTTTCACAATAGAAATACATTCTAGACTTATTAAAAGAGACAACAATGAGTGGATATCTTCCTATGGATACCCCTATGGATCCTAATGTTAAACTTTAGGGAAAAGGTAATGTTCCTGTTGATACTGAAAGATATCTAAGATTGGTTGGGAAACTAATTTATTTTTTACACACTTGATCTGATATTGCTTTCTCAGTTAATGTAGTAAGTTAGTTTATGCATTCTCCTTTCGAGGAACATCTTGAGGCTGTCAATAAGATACTGGGATATTTGAAGGCAGATACTGGAAAAGGCTTACTTTTTAAGAAGACTAGTGAAATAAATGCCTCTATCTTCAACGATGATGATTGGGTAGGTTCAATCATAAATAGAAGACCAACATTTGGATATTATACCTATTTTTGGGGTAATCTTGTGACATGGAAGAGCAAGAAACAAGGAATTGTAGCAAGAAGTAGTGTAGAGGCCGAGTTTAGAGCTATGTCTCAAGGTATTTGTGAAGGATTATGGATCCTTAGAGTCCTAGAAGAACTATGAAAATTAAGCTTCCATTAATATTATACTCTGACAGTAAAGATGCTATTAATATAGCTCATAGTCTAGTTCAACATGACAAAACAAAGCATATTAAAATTGATTGAAACTTCATAAAGGAGAAGTTAGATGCTGGAATCATATGTCTACCTTTTATGACTTCTAGTCAACAAACAACGGATATCCTGACCAAAAGTTTGGCAAGACCTACTGTTGAGCATTTGATAGACAAGTTGGACATAATAAATATCTATGCACCAACTTGAGAGGAGGGGGGGTGTCGGAAAATATTTTATTTCCCTATTTTATTGTTTTTGTTTGTTCTCCTTTATTTTCCTTTATTCTCCATTAAGGAGAGACTTAATTGTAATTTATGGTATTCTGAAGCTAAGGAATAAAACAAAATAACTTTTTACCATTCTCTTCAATACTTTTAAACCATAAATAAACATTTTTCAGCTAGAATCACATCTAACTGAGAGACTCACCTTGTAACTGCGAGACTTGCCTCCTAATTTAGGGACTCATCTCCTAACTAAGGGACTTACCTCTAATTAAGGGATTCATCTCTAATTTAGGGACTCACCTCCTAATTGAGGGACTCCCCATAACTACAATTTTCAATCTAAAGAAGCGATAAACTTAAAACATTGTCATTTTACAAACCCTCATGCTTAAGGAACCATGCAGTGATATATTTATGAGGGCCCATAAATGGGGAGACACATGTCTTGCCTTTGTCTGACGCCTATCTCACAATGCATCGTAGGGGTCTTGCCTAATGGTAAACGTGGATAATGATGTTTAGTTATTATATGACTGCATGTGTAAAGTCATGCCCTCGACTCTCTGAGAAGTAGGCTATCAACAATTTCCCTAAACAAGGTGGAGCTGATACCACTTTCTAGGAACACCTAAGAATACATATCTTCTCACCTCACATGAGTTTGTATCCTCCAGTCCCACTGGTCCAACGAAGAAGAAGAACACAAGGTTCTAGAACGCTACACTCTTCAACCACTTGCATTCTCGCCGCCGCCGCCGCCGCCGGTTAGTTACCTTTTCCCCTTTTACATCTCACCATTCACCATATTGTTTCAATGTCACCGAAAGTATACGATTTAGCTTCAATTATATTAGTTCAATTATCATATTGTTTCTTTTATAGGTTACTTTATAATCTTGTACATCAAGATGAACATTGTTATCAAATTGTCCTTTTTTATGAGTTTAATTTGGTCCATAAAGAAGGGGAAATTGTTATGAGTTGTTCTTAATATTGACCTAAGAGTAGAGATTTACAGGGATATGAAAACAACTAGCGTAGTGTAGTACTAGTAACTCTATCCAATTCAATAGTTACTTGTTCATTGCTATATAACATGCCTAAAAATGTTTATTTTCAAAAACTTGATACACTAGATCATGAATATATTTTTAGATAGAAACATTTATTAAAGTTATATACATAAGTAAAAGGGCACTTTATTTGTGTTAAAAGTTATGGATCGGGTAATATATGGCCTGAATATGTTTCTTAACATGGTATCAGAGTCGGGTTAAGGACTGCAATGTGGGCGTTTGACTCAGACCTATGCTAGGCGTGAGGGTGGGTGTTGAAGTTGATATTTGTATTGTTGGAGTTTGTTTGAAGTCCCACATTGCCTTTTGGGGTTGAGATCCAAACATATTTAACAATTTGAAAGAGTATAAAGACTCTTATAAACAAATGCAAGAAAATTTGAAATGGAAAACAGAGGAAATCACACATTCATTAACACACCATAAAACACTATATCAACATTCATGAGCCCATATTCACTCATCTATCTTAAATGATACCTGGCGAGAGAGCTACTAGCTAGATTTCGTGATTGTTTTTTGGTGATCATTAACTCCATGTGTGACATTTTTCTTTTCCTTCTATTGCAACATCAGGATATATAGCGTGAACATCTGCCGTGTTTGATTTTTGTTCCCATACATGAAGTCTCATCCATTTCATATATTCACCTTTATTTGTTAATGAAATCTCAGCATGGTTCCATCCATTCTTAATACATAGCTTTCCAGTCATATCAAGGCTAGCTTTGAGCCGCAGTTCCAGCAGAATTATATGATTTAAATTTGTATCAAATGCATTAGCTTTAGACCACCTAACATGGAGAAACTTTGTCAGCCGTTGACTTCCATTAATGACCAGGTCGAACTCATACTTAAGACGCACCTTCGAAAAAAAACAACCCCCCGAAACTACCATAGTACTAAGAGCCATCGGTGGCAACTTGTTTCGGAACCTGAAGGATAGGGACGGTTCCATTCTATATTGATGGAGCCAACTTGGGATAGTTGATCCTGGAAAACAGATATATTTGGACCCGCAATTGTGTAGTATCTGCCAATCAAATACAGTTAAAAAGTTTGAATTAAACCTGTTGGCACTATCAAATACTTGTAATTTTATTTTTTAAAAGATAATTTATTGACAAAATGAAAGATCATTGATACCTGATTCAGTAACATTTCCTTGGATTGGGAAGTCAATGATGTACAATTTATTGCACTAACATGTTTTATGTTTGGTGGCAGGCCTCTGATTTCTCGAAGTTCTGTACAGTTATTCAAAGTAAGTTCCTTCAAAGAGTGGCAAGCATTGATGCATGATGGAAGGATTGTGATACTGCTGTAATCAAGGGATAAATTTGTGACATGGTGAAAGCAAGGAAGAAGTGTAACGAGAAATTCATCTGATAGATGGCAAAAGCTGAAGTCAACAACACTTCTCACATCTGAAGGCGTTGTTTCCGGCCAATGATCTTTGCCCTTCTTAATTCGTGCAAGCCCCTTACAACTGTAAGCCTCCAAAGTCTTTAGTTTTGGCAACATAAAAATACTATTTGGTAATTCAAGTAACTCGTTGCATCTATCTATAGAAAGGTTTGCAAGCCCCACAAGAAGTCCAATGGAGTAGGGCAATTCACTTATGCCGGTATCACTTAAACCAAGGTATGTTATGTTTTCCATCTTATCTAAAATTTCTGGAAAAATCTTGATACTTGTACAATTCCGAAGGGACATGGTTTTAAGAGAGGGTAAGTTGATGCCATGAGGAAGAACACTGAGACTGGTGCAACGATTAAGATTCAAATCTTCAAGTTTTTCAAGGAACCCAACGGAATCATGAACTTCAACTAAATTCTTGCAGGAATCAAGATGCAGTTTCTTCAAATTCGGAGCTCCTGACATGTCAGGTACTTGCTTTAATGATTGGCATCCACTTAACTTCATTTCCCTCAAAGATTTGAATTTCTGAAAAATACATTCAAATTACAATAACTGTTTATCAGTAACTACTTAATGAATTTTAAAGCTAGTCATAGTATTCATTTCCAAATAAATATCAACATAGTTAGGAACTATACTCACCATGATCACTTGATTTTCGAAAGTAATACAACTCAAAGACAAGTCAAGTATGACAAGTTTCTTCGGATCAAAGTAAACCGGCAATGATGATTCAGGATAATCACACCATTTTAGCACTCTTAAACTTTTTGGGAGATGATTAGGTCCTCTGGAAAAGTGAGCTTTTTCTATTACCAATACTTTAAGGTTTTCCATCTTCTTCAATGCATTTCCATCCCATTCTACTTCTTTATCTTTTAGTAGGCGTAGCATAATGATCTCAGTTTTATCAGATCCCTTCAAACGAAAAGCATTAAATAAGATAAATCTCTAGACTATAGGGTTAAGAATTACGTGGCCTTTCTCACAAAAAAGAAACAAAAATTAAGGATCCTAGAGACAATAGACCCTTCATTTACCTTGTTCTCTTTGAAGACATGAAGAATATCTTTGGAGAACCATAATCTACTGCGTTCTCCTGGCTTTGAAGGTGCTTCCAGCCGCACAATTTCTCTACCCATATCTTCAATCATGTCATGCATCCTGACACGATAATCATCAACTTTTACCAGACTCTTATCAATCAACACCTGAATAGCATAGTTTGGGTCAAAGCCACGACCGCTACATAGTATGTTCATGACATCACTTAGTTTTCCTCCTTTGAAGAAGCAAGCAATGTCTAAAAATATTTCCTTCTCAAATTCTTTTAAGCCATCATAGCTTACTCTTAAGATTTCTTGAATATTTTCATGAGGAATTTTTTCATAGGTATCTAAAGCAGATTTCCACTCCATTTTCGTTTTACCATACAAGTCAGAGCCTATTATTTCAACAGCCAATGGAAGACCCTTAGAATAAAGTACTACTCTCTTCGAAATCTCCACATATCCTCGACCAATTTTTAGTGTTTTGAAAGCATTCCAACAGAACAACTGGAGGGCTTCTTTATGATTCAATCCTTCTACTTCATAGACTTTTTCAACACCATAAACATCTAGTAGATGCTTATCTCTTGTTGTGATGATAATTCTGCTGCCAGAACCAAACCAATCAAGGCCACCAGCAAGTGCTTTTAGTTGCTCCAAACTGTCAACATCATCCAAAATCAGTAGAGTTTTTTTCCCACGAAGCCTACTCTTGATAATAGAGATTCCTTTATTTAAACTGCACAACTTAACATCTTTCTCCCCAGCTAATTCAAGAAGAAGCATCTCCTGTAGTTGTACCAACCCGCGCTTCATTGAATTTTCTCTAATATCACCAAGAAAACAAAGACTATCAAATTGATCAGCAATGTAATTGTATACAGCACATGCAAGTGTTGTTTTGCCCATCCCACCCATTCCATATATTCCCACCATGTGAATCCCCTCCTTTGATTCAACCTCTAGAAGTGAGTTCACTTTTTGCACTCGAGACCCTAACCCAACAGGGTATTTAGCAACATGTAATGGTTTACGGTGAATCTTTTCAGAGACCTCTTGAATGATCTTTTCAATGAACTTATATTCGTACCTGTCAATTGCCAAATTTAAGTCTAAAGTGAAATTAATGATTGTACACTAGTTTATCTATAGTAAATGTGGAATAATTAATACACAACCAAATGATTCTGTTTTGTACAGTTCATTAGGATCAAATAATTTATGTATAAAGTATATTTCTACATGGTATGAGAGTCTAATCTAAAACATCCCTAACCTTGTGCTGCCAAACTATGGGGAACCCAAACCTGATGAATCTCTCAAAGTAGAGATTGAATCATTTTCGACCAGTTCGCACGAAGGGCTCCCTCACCTTATTAGAGGCCATAAATTAAATGGTCAACACTATATATCCAATTGGTAAGGCCTGTCAAGATCTTCCTCGATGGAAAATGAAGGGAAGGCTACATCACAGGAGTTTCTAAGTGTCTTGAGAATGGAGACAAAAACTTCCAAAAATAAAAACTTGAGAACAACCAAGTAATGTCATGGCTGCTCAACACCATGACGAATGAAAATGGTGAAAATTTCATCTTCTATGACACTGCAAAATAGATATGGGATGTAATGAAGAATACATACTCAGACGTTGACAACACATGACTTATTTAAGATAAAAACAACAGAGAGAATCTTCTGTTATTGAGTATTCTAACATACTTAACAAATACCTGCAACAATTGGACATATATGAAGAGGTTATATGGTGTTATACAAAAGATCAAAAGAAGTAAAAGGAACCGGTGGAAAAAGATAGGATTTACAAATTTCTATTGGAACTAAATAAGGACCTATATAGATGAAATCCGTGGAAAGATTCTTGGAACCAAACCACTTTCCAAAATTTGAGAAGCCTTTTTCAGAAATGAGAAAGGAAGAAAGCAGGAGAATAAACATGTTGGGGGACAGTTACATCAGTTTCATAGAGCGAGAGTTCTGCAATGGTTGCAAGAGAGAACCAACCTCAACCACCATAAGAGAAAACCCGCCCCTAGTGTGATCACTACAAGAGATCAAGTCACACAAAGAAAACGTGTTGGATCATACATGGAAAACCTTCAAAGGCCAAACAATTTAAAGGCAATGAGGGCAGAGCTAACACAACATTTAACAATCAAGAAGCTGAGGTATATTCTAAATTATCTCTTTTTAGCTATCGACAAATGGAGGTTTTTCAAAACTCTTTCAACAAACTATGTTAACTGTAGAAAAAGGCGGTACTGACATAGTGACTCAAAGAGGTAATTACTTACATGTTCTAAACACTATTAAAGAAAAAACAAAGTCATGGACTGTTGACTCAGGGGCTTCCAATGACATGACTAGAGATTTTACTTTGTTTATTAGCTATTCTCCATGTCCTTATAACTATAATGTTAGGATAGTTGATGATACACATTCTAAGATCGATCAATTATCATATCATCAAATATTACACTTGATTCTATTTTGTATGTGCTTAAATTTGATTGTAATTTGCTGTTCATTAGCAAGATTACAAGAGATTTTAAATGTGTTACTGAATCCTTCAATAACTTGTGTAAATTTCAATTTTTGGATTCGGGGAAGACGATTGACAATGCTCAAGAGTGTATTGGATTCTACCTCTTTCAAGTGAAAACATCAGAAGAAAAACTCAAGAATCATTATCACGTAACAACTGCAGTATCGAATAATAATAATTCTTTAATCATGTGGCAATATATTATTATTCTTCAATGATGTGGCAATATAGATTAGGCCACTCCAATTTCATGTACTTGAATAATAATAATTCTTTAATGATGTGGCAATATAGATTAGGCCACTCCAATTTCATGTACTTGGAAGAAAAAAATTCTCTCATTATTCAATAAAAATAAGGAACGTTTTCGGTGCGAAGTTTGTCAATTATCTAAACACAACCCTACCCAATCCTATAAATCATCCATATCTTTTTTCATTAATTCATAGTGGTGTATGGGGACCATCACGAGTCGACAACATTAGTGACTCGAGATAATTTGTCACCTTTATTGATGTTCACACATGTTAGCTGAGTGTTTCTAATAAAGGGAGAAAAAAAAATCAAAAGTAGGGAGAGAGAATATTTGAAATTTATCTTAAGATAATACTTAGAACTGATAATGTTCGAGAGTATTACAACCTTGCTTTAAATTCTTATCTTTAAAAGGTTGAAATTTTCACCAAAGTTCGTGTGTCGACACTTTCTAACATAATAAAGTAGCATAAAGAAAGAATGGACACCTTGTATAAGTGACTAAATCAATCATGTTGGCTGCAAATGCCCACAACAATTTTGGGGAGAAGTGACCTCTCAACAACTTACCTTATAAACATAATGCCCTCCAATATCCTTAACTTTAAGACCCCATTTTCCACACTTTAAAACTTGTTCCCAACTAGCAAAATTCTTTCCTCGATTCCGTTAAAAATATTTGGATGTTCAACTTTTGTCTATAATCTCAACCTTCGCATAAGCAAATTGAACCAAAAATCCATCAAATGCATTTTTATTGGTTACTCTCGTCACCAAAAGGGATATGTGTTACTCTCTCCATATTAATTTTTTATCACACTATGGACGTAACCTTCTTTAAAAATCAACACTATTACACTAATATTAGTATTCGGGGGAAGCAACCATACATCCTATTGAAAATTCATAATATCAACTTTTAACTTTTAAACTAACCGAACATGAAAAAATCTTATCAGACCAAACCTCTAACATTCAGCCTAGTGAAAGAGAAAAAAAGCTATGATGAAAACAGAAACAAAACAGAATGTAATTATAGTCTCAACCGCATCTCAACAGAATTGTGGCTCCAAAAACAAGTAACCGGAAGATTTATAAATGGAGAAGGAGAAAGCAAGTAGAGTCAAGTAGAGCTCCAATGCAAAACCAAGTAGAGTTACAATAAAGAAATTTGATGAGTAGAAAAGAGTGATAGTAAGACACATACCCGTCTTTGAAATGCGAACCTACCAGATTACCCGCTTCTTGCAAAGCTAACCTCCACTGTTTGACCTTTGCCTTGTCAATGGTTTTTTTTCTGTCATGGTTGGCCAGTGATTTTGCATAGCTCCCTTTCTGATGGCGCACATCAGAAGGGTCAACTTGATAAAAAACTGGCCAAACCAACCTGCCCTTATGTTTTACACACTCCATGATCTTTGTAAGTTCTTCCAAACAGAAAGTGGATGATGCATAGTTTTTTGAAAAAATCACAATTGCAATTCTTGATTGTTGAATTGCCATGCTGAGAGCTGGTTTGATTTCTTCTCCTTTCCTAAGCTCTTGGTCATCTATGAAAGTGTTGATTCCTTTTCCACAAAGAGCATTATAAAGGTTCCCGGTAAAACCCTTTCGAGTATCCTCTCCTCGAAAACTGAGAAAAACATCATAAACCCATTCATTGGTAAAGGAAAAGGGTGCCCGAGGTTTTAAGTCTTTCATGGTAGCCATAGTAATGATTCTTGAGATGGAAATGATGTAACAGCTCCAATTAATCAAGGAAATACCATATATTATATACAAGTCTGGTTGAGTTACACTGAAATCAGTGTATCAGACAATAGCAAATTGCAATGCCTTAAACATCATTTTCTTTCTTACCAATCACTTATACTTTTGTTTGCCTTTCAATATTAATTATTATATTTATTATGTTCAAATTTTCCATTTCTTACAGCACAAGATAACATTTTATTTTTTTTATTTTTTTTATATAATCAGTGCATTCTTAAGTACACTTTGTGATTGATTACTATATTTTTCCTACTTAAATTAGTTTAGTTTTTAATTTTTTTTATATAATAGTGTACACTTGCTTTTAAAGTGCGTGGCTGGCTGGGCTTCCTTGTATATTTAAATATTTCAGTAGCTATCTTATGATAAAACATTAAATAATTTTCATTGGATTTTTAGTCAACATTTATAAATTTATGATATGACAGGTAAGTACATGGAAGTTTGTGAATTTTTTTATGACAGGTAAGTACATGGAAGTTTGTGAATTTTTTTCTAATATATTGCATTAGATATATTGCACAAAATTTCGTGCGGGTAATAACCTTCGCAAAAAAGTGGTGAATGGAGACTATGCTCTAACTCAACCTTCATTTCAATACTATCGCGATGAAATTAGATTGTCAAATACTATCATCCAATAATCATATCACTAACATCATTGTTATCTTTAACTCATATCCACATATGTTGCATATCATTAGTGTCATTTGCAATTGAAATGTACGAAACAAACCTATCGATTCTTCTAATTTTTTCTCAATCATTAATCTCTCAATCTAACCAACTTTTCAAACTCCTTTCAAGATGCTCGAAACTTTGGATGTTTCAAAAACACATTTTCATCGGAGGTTTTGTTGCCGAATAACAAATATGTCCATCCCTTTTAACAATCATGATAGAGATAGTGAAGAAAAGAAAACAAGATTATGTAAAGAGGTGTGATTTTGAAATGGTAGGAGACACCTTTATTTATATTGAAATGGTGTCAAACTAATTGACGTCTCTCTTTAAAAATTGTACATAGACGCTAATTGAATTGACAACACCTATTGTAAATGCCAATTCAATTGACGCTTCCTCTTAAAGTTGCCAATTGATCTAGCACCAACTATCACATTTTTTATTTTTATTTTTATGAAAAGTGAGATATATTGAGAAATTATTTGAAATGTGAGGTGTTTTGAGAATTTTTTTAAAAGAATGAGCTATATAAGTAAAAAATTTGAAGTTTGTAGAATTACTTTTGCTTTTTTATAAAGATTTTTAGATGAATTTTTTAATGAATGCATTTTTCATATATTGTGTCAAATATATCATACTAAACACTAGACTTTTCACATACGTTGCCATATCCTCCTCTTAACAAGTTCTAACTCTACTGCTGCCTCTTCCTTCTCCCTTGATGATTTTCGTATTTTTAAAGTCTTCAACATTAAGATTTGTCTTCCGGATGTTCTTCGTATCATCGAATTTTTTTGGCACCCTCGTCCTTTAGATTGGGTCAAATATAATTGTAATTGTAATGATGCCTTTCCTTTGAATTCACCGTCTTTGGGATATGGTGGTATTTTTAGAGATAACTTTGATAAATATTTTTTGGTGTTTGCTTCTTTTGTTCCTTTACCATCCTCTACGGTTGCTGAATTTCAAACTGTTTTTTCCGCTATGAAAATTACGATGAGTAAAGGTTGGATTAAGTTGTGGATAGAGTCAGACTCTAAATTTGTTGTTCAAGCTTTTTGCTAATATTGCTATTGTTCTTTGGCAGCTCCGACGGCAATGGAACATTTGTATCTCCTATTATCACAACAAAGACTTGTATTTCTTTCAAATTTTTAAGGAGGGTAATTTCTGTACTAGTTAATTTAGGCTAAATATGATTTCTCTAACTATTTTTTGAATCTATTCCTTTAAATATAAGGAAGGATTTTGTAAGTAATAGATTAAGATTACTTTGCTTTAGATTCATATCCTTTTGATGGAGTTGACTTGTCTCTCCACCATTTTGAGTTTGTAACATTTTCTTTTACTTTTCTTGTTTGCCTCATCTTGTTTTTTAATATATGAGAGTTTATTAAAAAAATATTAAAAATTATCACATGATCTAAGCGATAGGACAATTAAGGTTGGTAAGGAAAGAGATTGAGTTTAACTTTTCTACTAAGTAAACAAGAATTATAATTACATATATGTCATTTCAAGGAAAAAGAATAAACCATAACATGGAAGTTACTCAAATACACTACATTTTCTTAAATATTTATTTAAAAAATGGTAAAGTACTTCTAGTTATAAAAGGATAGTATAAATAATAACCTAAAAAACTCTACTACAATGCAATGGGTAAATTACAATTGACAAAGTTACACATCTTTTATTTTGTAATGGACGGAAAATACTTTTTTTTTAATTTAATATTTAAATTTACAACTGAATTAAAAAAAAATTGAATTAAAAACTTTTAGTTATATCGAAAGAATTTTCTACTATTTTGTGAAAGTGAATTTGGCTCTACTCCTCTACCTTGCATTTTTATTTTTCAAAAGAGATAAATAATCCTAATACTAGTGTGTCTAAATGTTATATAATTTCAGAATTTGTATATAACCGAGACTTTTTTTAATCTGAATTTTATATACTCAAAACATTAATATTCAAAACCAATTTTATTTAGATAAACTTTTTAAAGTAAGAAAGTGACGTTTTATATATTTATTATATATCTGCAACTATTTTATTGAAACTTCAGTAGAAAAAAATCAAAATAATGTCGACCTTTGCGAAATTGATTATAAACTAGATCTATGGCCCGTGTATTGCATGGGTTTAATTAGAATATATATATATATATATATATATATATATATATATATATATATATATATATATATATATATATATATATATATATATATATATATATATATATATATATATATATATATATATATATATATATATATATATATATATATATATGTTTAAACTTGTTTTAAAGTTATATTAATTATAAATAAAATTTTAAAATTTTAAAAATATGAGAATTCTTAATAATTTATACATAATAAAATTTCAATTATGTTATTTAAATTTGAAAGATTTATTATATTTATGTGAATAATATAATATTATAAAAAAATATTATATTAAATTATTTATAAATAATATTTGTGATTAATCATTAAATTCATAATACATATAAGAGTAGATTAATATAAATTTTAATTATTCTTTTAGTGTTTAGTCTATAATTTATAAAACCTATTTTTTTTTTATTCAATGTCAAATCCAAAAAATGGTTTAAACCATATATTCTCTAGATATTTTTACAAATCATATTATATTTTATCATATTGCTTTTTTCTTCAGTGTTACTATGTTAATCAAGTAATTTCATTCATATTTTCATGATTTTTTGTTTGCTTATTATAATGGAAAAGGTATGTTGTGACCTGATTAATGGATTATTTATTTCATGGAGTGGAAAACAATTATTTATTATGGGTTAATCATCTTAATAAATTAATTATTTTTACTTCAATAATTAAATTAAAGAAAAAATGATTTTAAAAATTAAAATGAAACTTTAAAGATCTTTTTTCTCCAATTTTATAGGCATTAATGATTCTAAAACTTATTTATTTAAGTTATTAATATTTTAGCAAAGCTATTTTAATTTTTTTATTAAATTGTAATATTTTGATTCTTAAATATACTTTTATTATAAAAAGAATTCGTAGATCAGTTTATTAATTTGTTAGAATATTTAAGAATATACTAAATTTAAAAAAATATTAAAATATGTTAGAATATTAGTTTGATTTTTAATTATATGAATTTATTAGAATATTTAAGAATATATTAAACTTTAAAGAGTAATAGAAAAGATCGATGTAATTATAAACAATGTAGAATTATATTAAGTTTTATCAATTTATTTGTATCTTAAGATTTTAATGATTTTAATGAACGAATAATATCTAAAACAACAATTTCATAACTGTTATTTACAATTCAATAATAATTGTGCGAAAATATAATTAAAAAAATAGTTTCAAAATATTTAATATTACATTAATTGTTGAGTTATAAATTAGAATGATAAATAAATGTTATAAGTTCATATTAAGAAATATAATTATTTACTAAAATTAGTAAGAAATATAATTTTAAAATTTCTAATAGTGGTCAATTATAGGTTTAGGATTTAGATTGATAGATAATTACTAAAAAAATGATAAATTGAGATTCAATTTGATTTTTTTTAATATGATGGTAACAACAAAGTTAAAGTTTTAATTGATAGATAATGTCACTAAAATAATAAAAAGTGGAGTTTAGTTTTTTTTAGAGTAAGAACTTGCAAATAACAAACAAAACTTCATAACAATTAAAATGAAAATTAAATATTATTGTTATGTACTAATAAAAAAAAAATCTAATTGATATGTTTAGATTTGGACGAAAACAATTGTAAGAGTTATATGTGCATTTTTATTACAAAAATAATAAATAGTATATTTTAAAATACTTATGAGTATACACATGATTAAAATAATTTTAATTTATAATAAAAAAGGAAATAATAATTTATATTCGAAAGAATGCATAAGTACTACCGTTCTAGGAATTTGAAGAAAGATGAAGGAAATTAAACCCAAAAAAATAAAATCAATACAAAAAAAATAAAAAGTATCATAATGAAAGCATATGTATTACAGTTTCAAAAATTGTGATGCTCCAAATTATTGTAAGATAAGTATATTTAATTCTTCGTTCTAAGATTGTTGTTTGTAGAAGCTAGAGCTAATTAGACTCATTCAAATTGCAAAACCCGCACAATAAAATTACCGAATTATATTACAAAATATGAATATGATCAAAATAATATTTATGAAATGAATTGGAATATGATCAAAACAATAAAATTAAAA